CCCAAAAAAAATTTGATACCATTTCGCTCGTCATTAATTTTTTCAATTCTTATTGAAATAACCTCAAATTTTCATTGAATGTATAGAAACAGGTAAAGATTTTATATTTAACTAGCAGTAGAGCCCGGCGTTGCCCGGGGATGTAACAGTAAGAGATAGATCAAGCATCGACCATCATAAAGACTGAAAAGTAAAATTGACAAAGATTATTGTTTAAGGTTGACGGACACGCATGTCTTAATTAGTTTTTTTTTGTTTTTTTGTTTTTCGAATTGCTCAAACCCAAAGTCAAACAAAAACATTGTTTTCAATCGTTATGAGTCTACCGATTGAATAGAATTTTATTATAAACAATTGTCTTGTAAATGGAATTTTTAAAGCATTCTGAATGTAAAAATAAAGAAAAAAGTGTGCAAGACAATAAGAAACACTACCTGCCCCACAAAAAGTGAAGTTTTGTTGAAATCGGTTGAAAAATGTAGGAAATCCGATCCCATATATAAACGAACACACACACACACACACACACACAGACAACCTGGGTTTTATAATAAGTATAACTCGATATGAGTTGTCCCCCTTTTATTCTTGCGACAGCGATCTATCCTAATCGAGTTTTCAAATCGATTTAGTGCAAAAACAATTGTTTTTCCAATTTTTGGCGCTGTCAGAACCACCGCAAGGTAATTTTACGTAGTCCTGTGAAGTTTTGTTGAAATCGGTTGAAAAATGTATGAAATCCGATCCAATATATAAACGTACAGACACACACACACACAACCTGGGTTTTATAATAAGTACGATGTTATATTTTTGTTATCTCAATGAGAATCTGCCATAAAGATGGATCGGGCGTGGGGGAGATAATGATCAGTCCCCGTGTGATTTCTTTTTATGGGGATATGTGAAAGGGACTGCTCTATGCCCCGCCCCATTCTTGCTAGTATTAATGAACTCGAGCAGAGAATCATTTCTACACTGGATAATGTTACAGGTGACATGCTACAACGTGTTTGGCAAGAGCTTAACTACTGACTTGACGTGTGCCGTGTCACAGGCGGTGTACATATTGAACACTTATGAAATCGGTCCCATAATAAACTTATGATGTTCAACACCTAAACTATTTAATTTCATTGAGCTAGGCTTAGTTTTCAAGATAATTCCTTTTAAAATGATGTCAAATTTTTTTGGGACACCATGTATATTTAAATGTTATGAAATAAAAGGATAGATTAAAAAATACACATAAATATGAATTAATTTATTTTAATGCTTATATTCAACTATTTGTGCAGCTTATTTAGTGGGGAACATGTGCCTGATGTTTTTTTTTCGCGATTTCTACCATGTTTGGTCGAATGTGCGATAATTAGGCCCTCATTTCTTCTTCAGTTGAGTGTAGTCTTTCTCGCTTCTTATTTTTAATGTTATTTAGGGCTGAAAAGCCAAATTCACATAAATAAGAAGTAGAAAATTGCAATAAAACTGATAAAGCCTTTTTAACTAATGTGGGTTTGGTTTGGTTTACGGCATATCAACCTCAATGAGTTATTTAATGCCGACGATTTTTATTTCTGGTAATATTTTTCTTCAAACATATATAGCTGGTAATATCTTTTTTCAAAAATGTAATGGTAATCATTTTTTTTTTACAGGATTTCTAGTACTAAAACCTATTTTTAAAATTACATAGTGTTTTAACTCCAGTGTGGAGGCTGTTTACCCACAGTTGGGACTCTAACAGATGCTACCATCCCGGGACTCTAACAGATGCTACCATCCTGGGAACACCAGCAATTAAGAGGTGGTTCCACGCTCCTCAAAACCTCCTGATCAGAGGCCTTGCTGTCGGATGGATTTTATCGTCTTACCCAGGAGGTTAGTGGTGCATTGTGGGTAGTCGATTTTGGCGGTTATTTTGCCGGACGTCGTTTATTTGTTTATTTATTTGTGTTAAATTATTTTGCTGGTCTTTATTTTTTTTATTTCTTATCTTATATACTTATTTTTCATTTTATTTTACTATATATATATATAGATATATATATATGTAAGCCAATATATGGATATAGATCCGACAGTATGAAGAAAAATATGCAGAAAAAACAAACAAAAATCTTAATATGCAATTATGCTGTATTAATGGTTATATAAAGTCAACGTCGGACGTTTCGGTCTATTTTAGACCATCTTCAGCACTGTTTCATTTAAACATAATTAACATTAGAACATATAAAAATTCAACACGAAAAGACGATGGACATAAGAGCACAACTAATCCAAACAGTTAACTGAAATTTTTATATAAGATCAGCGTTCCGTTTAAATATGATCACGTCGTCGTCACGTGGGCGATGTTGTTTTTTTTTTTTTTTTAATATTTTAATATTTGGAAATCATCTTCGAATACGTTTTCACAACATCGTCCACGTGACGACGACGTGATCATATTTAAACGGAACGCTGATCTTATATATATATATATATATATATATATATATATATATATATATATATATATAAGAAAAACAGACCACTTTAAGGTTCCATTATAATAATTTATTTCACCAGAGCCCTTTTAAAGTACGCCGGATCATCAGATAGTACTTCCAAAAAATGAAATGAAAATTGATGGGTAGTGTAAGTTTTTGTAATTTAACAGAGAGTATAATAAGGAGTGGTTAGAGAGACATGGTAGAGTTTAGGGAGGGTTTAATTTAATCTCTCTCTCAATCATACTTAGTATTGGGGGAGGAGGAGTGACCAGACCTTGACCTATTTAAACGGTTAAGTTAACGGAAGTGATATATTGAAATGGGAGGGGAGAAGAGAGAAAAGAAAAAGAAAAAAGAAAGAAGGGGGAAGTAAAGAGAAAGAGGCTGTAAATGGGTTTTGCATATGGAGGAGAGGGGTGATAAGTTTTAGCAATTTATGTAAAAAATAGATTTTAATGTTTGATAGTAATTTAGATGTCTAAAAAATCCTCGAAGTAATTAATTTGATGCTTGCTAGCCATTTGAATATTTAACTTTTTTACAAATAATTTAGGGATTTAATATAAGTTAAATACTGTATTTATTAACACATTCATAAAGAACACATTAAAAAAGATTTAGACTATAACAGTTTGTTTACCTGACCAATAGTACTCGTTTAATATTGTAAAAGACAGTTAAGGTAACATCTTTATCAGTTTGAATCTAATTTATGAATGTAATTTGTAATTATTTTTAGATGGGTAATCTTTTCTTACTTAAAGTTTTATATATATATATATATATATATATATATATATATATATATATATATATATGCATGTATCTATGTATGTATGCCGTAACAATATTTCGGGGTACACTTAAGAGGATCGCGGAACAATAGCGTGACGCGACACGACGGTAATTGAGAATTACTGCTCTCGTGGGACATATTTTCAGACATTTTAAAAAAAAATACTAGACGAGCATTACTTTTGACTATTTTGTTGATAATATATATGGTATATACGGGGAAGAATAAAGTACAATATGTACTTAAACTAAGAAAGTAACCTATGAGTGGTGCCATATTGAAATTTGTTAATATAGATGTAACTGTAAGTGTTATTTTAATGATTACATTTGTTATCTGTGAAAATCTCTTCCGATCTCCCACATTCTTGTCAACTATGCCATTGTCATCTGTCTTTCTGAAAACTATTCTTTTATTGTCCTTTCTCCTCACTAAAGTCTTCTCTTTACTGGGTTTTAGAAACTATGAGGAAAAAAAAAAAAAACTATTCATTTTTTTTCTCGGTTTCACCAACCACCCAGCCCAGGAGGCCGTGTAGTTTCCTTTCCGAGTCGACTATCAACACATTGTTCTACTAATAGAACATATTTTAAGACATTTTTTTAATACCAGACGAGAATTAATTTTGATTATTTTTATCGATACTATACACGGAAAAGACTAAAATACACCATATGCTTACACGTCGTGCTTAAATACAATTAATTTCTGTCTGGTGTCAAACATAACCCTTAAAATAGGGTCACTAGTATCTTACAACATCATTTCATAATCATTTCAGCCCTAGTAAGGCAATAAAGCCACTAGGAAGCAAATGGTCAATGAGTGCGAGAGAATATAAAAAAAATATGAAGAAGAGAGAACAAAAAGTCGAAAGAGTGTTACGCAAGTGCAAGAGAAGAAACTTTTAGCATCAAACGTATGATTAAATCGAGTCATTTTAATTGTAAAATGATGAGACCTAACTGCCAATCTAGTACTTTTGATCTAAAAAAGTAGAAGTTATGATAAACTTTTCTAAGACAGAAACAATAATCTGGAAATAGAATGAAATTAGTGACAGCACCTGCCCTTTAATGATCAACAAACCCATATACGTCTGGCGATGTCCACAAAACTGAATCACCTCAAACCTCATCAGAAATATAAGAGCCTTAGTATGTTTAATCTTTTCTTTCATAATTTTACAAGCACAGATGTGAAGAAATGTATCTAGAATACTTCAATATACCGTATCACATTGAATTTTTGCTCTTGGAAGTTTCATTATTTTAAAATTTAAAGAGCTAGATGCAACCGCAAGTTCTATGGCAACAGTATCTTCTATCGCAAATTCTCGTTTGTGGAACTCTCTTCTGAATTCTTGTTTTCCAGTCAAATTTGATCTTCAAATATTTAAATGCAATTTCAGTCGTTATCTTCTTAATTTCTGTTCTTTTATTGTTCTCTCTCTTTAATAATGTTTTTCATATTCTTTCACACAAGCACTGTGCAATAGTGGCTTTGTTGCCTTGCTTTAGTTGAAATGATTTTAAAAAAAGAGAAAGAAAAATATTTGTAAAAATATGTAATTATGAATGAAATATTTCCGTAAAACGTATGAATAAATAATATGTAAACGTTTTAATCAAATTTGACTTCAATTAGGAAAAGGTTAGATTTCTGGAATTCGGAGGAGAAGACCTGTATTTGAATCTACCAATCACGTGACCCAAATGACCTTTGTTCGGATTTTCATCTTTCTGTCAAAGAAAAATGGAATTGTGAACAAGAGAGAGAAGGAGAGAAGTGTATAAAGCCAGCGAAAGTGTAATAGGAGAGAGTGAGATATAGAGGGCATTATAAGAATAACCGTTGGCTTGCTGTGTCACCAAAAGATATACTGAGAGTAATGAAAATCAAATATCCAGTCAATATCATTGTGTTTGAAGTGATCATTGCTTATAGCGACATTATGCTTCCATACATCTTCCCACATGGCTTCAGATTCAACATGGAGGCCTACACGATGTGGTAGTGCTGCCATAGATCAAGTGGGTGGCCTGCTGGAAGACTCTCTTCATCTGGCAACAGGAGTGCGCACCACGCCACACAAGCAGAAGAACACAGCATTCACCAACTTAAATCGAAAAAATGCAGATTAGGAAAGAAAGAGAAAACGGGAGAGTGAGAGTGAGTGAGTGAGTGAGTGAGTGAGTGAGTGAGTGTGTAAGTGAGTGATTGAATGAGTCCGTGAGTGAATGAGTGAGTGAGTGAGTGAGTGAGTGAGTGAGTGAGAGGAGGAATGAGGAGGAGTGAATGAGTGAGTAGATGCATGAGTGAGTGAGTGGGTGAGTGAGTGAGTGAGTGAGGAGTGATTGAATGAGTCAAGGAGTGAGTGAATGAGTGTTATGAGTGAGGATAGGAGTGGGTGCACATGAGTGAGTGAAAACCAGTGAATGAGTGAGTGAGGAGTGAGTGAATGAGTGTGTGAGTGAGGAGGAGTGGGTGCATGAGTAAAAAGGAGTGAATGAGGAGTAAGAACAATGAATGGTGGTTGAGTGGTGGATGCATCAGTGAGTGAATGAGTGAATGAGTGAGAGTGAGTAAATGAGTGAATGAGTGAATGAGTGAGTGAGTGGATGCATGAGTGAGTGAATGAGTGAGTGAGTGATTGAGTGAGTGGGTGCATGAGTGAATGGGTGCATGAGTGAGTGAATGAGTGAGTGAGTTAGTGAATGAGTGAGTGAGTGAATGAGTGAGTGAAAGAGAGAGTGAGTGAGTGAGTGAGTGAGTGGGAGCATGAGTGAGTGGGTGCATGAGTGAGTGAATGACTGAGTGAATGACTGACTGAGTGAGTGAGTGAGTGAAACAATGATATAAACAAAGACTGACAGAGTGAGTGGGAAAAGAGTGATGCAGAAAGAGAGAGAAATGAATAAAAATAGTGAACGTGAATAGTACAGGGAGAGAGTGATGCACAGAGAGTGAGAGTGAGAGAACGAGAGTGTGAGTGAAAGGTTGACATTATGATAGTGTGAGAGTGTGATGTAGAAAGATAAAATAATAAAGTGAGGGAATGTGAAGGAGAATCTCTCACTCTTTGTATCATTGATGCAGGGAGGGAGAGAAATAACGACAGATAGAGAGAGGGGGAGAGTTAAAGTGTGAGAGGGCGAGAATGAAACTGAAAGATGGAGAGAGCAAATGAGAGAGTTATAGAATGAGAGTGTAAGAAGAACGAAAGTGAGAAAAAGTGTGAGAAAGGGATGGAAATTGATGGAAAGATACCCAGAATGCAACAGGTAAATTGTTACCATTTTATATATTTAATTTCGCCCGTGTTGTTTGCTTTTTATTTTCTCGACAGCACAGTATAGTAGGGTCAGTTGGGCACCGTCTTTGAGAAAAAGAGTACCATGACGCAATTCGTTCCACCAGATAATTTGGAAACGGTATGCTGTACATCTTGGCATTCGCGCCGGATGATCCAATACGAACATTTAAGAATGCTTGTGTGTCAATCTAGGGGCAGTGCAGAAGATACGGAAAGGAGTTGGAGGAGTCTAACTGTGATTACGAAGATAGAGCATCTCGAAAAACTCACTCTGATCGCTCTGATAAGAAAAGAACTCTTGAATTTATTGGTAAAAGCCAGGCCATGACTGACAACGATCCATCCAATCAGATCAATAGCCAGGGGCACAGGAGTGTCTGAATTTCTTATCAGGTAGGTAGTGAATGAAGACATTCAGTATTTCTCATACAAGATGAGAATAAGCGGATTTTTATCCCAAGCCACGAAGGACAAGATAAAATATCGCGCTACGAAGCTCTTGAACAAACTCAAGCATCTCCTCTAACCGAACATGCTTTGTCTTTTCTCAGACGAGATTAACATTCTGCTAGGATAAGATGGTAAACGCAAAGAACAACTGTTGGCTTGCTGTGTCCCCAGAAGATAGACCGAAAGTAATGAAAATCAAATATCCAGTCAATATCATTGTGTTTGGAGTGATCTCTAATTATAGCGACATTATGCTTCCATACATCTTCCTAAAGGGTGTCAGATTCGACACGGAGGCCTACACGAATTGGCAGAGCTGCCCTGGATCCAGAAGGTGGCTGCTGGAAGATACTATGTCTGGCAGTAGGACTCTGCACCATGCTACACAAGCAGAAGAACTCAGTAATGGCTGTTAGGCAATTTCTGCGGCCACATCACCCTTTACTTCTGGCTACCTAGCTCCCCAGACTTGTAGCCTCTTTGATTAATATGTGTGTGGCGCATTTGAGCGTGAGACCAACAAAACTCCTTGTAGCACCAAAGATGAACTGAAGGCAAGAATTATGACAGTAATTACCAATTTAATCAAGGAGAACGTCCAGAAGAGTTGCAGGAGATTCCGAAGTCGTCTGGAGTCTGTAGTTGAAGCCAATGGCGATTTTATGGAAGAAATTTACTCTTTACTATTTCAAGATATTTTTGTGTAATTTTGGTAAATATATTAGAATTTTTTTTCATTTTTGCGTAATTTAGACAACAATTTATCCCTCGCACCATATATATATATATATATATATATATATATATATATATATATATTATGAAATGGACAAAGTCCGACAATTATTTAAAGACATTTTTATGTTTAACATTCTTTTTATAGATATAAAGGACGAATATTTTCTCTGAAAATTTCTCGGATATTCAGGCCGGTAAATGTTATTTAATACTGTTTATTATAAACAGAGCATTTACTTAAATACTTGTATCTATAAACAGAATATATATATATGTGAAAATAGGAAGGAACTGGTTAGGTAAATAATACAAAGTCCCTTTGTATTTTAGTTATTATTTTTAAAAAATAGTGCTCGATACAAAAGTAGAGCATAAATACAATTATTTATTTAAAAATATGATTCCAAATCGCGAAGCTCTTGTTTTGAAACATGGGACTTCTTATGTCGCGATTTGGAATCATATTTTTAAATAAATAATATATATATATATATATATATATATATATATATATATATATATATATATACAGAGTTAGATAGAGTTAGAGTTAGAGTGAGTGAAAGGTTAAGGAAGATAAAGAGGGAATATAAGAGTGAGACTGCAATAGATAGAGATAGAGAAGTGTGCGAGAGGTTGAGAGAGGAAGTGTGAGAGTTGGTGTAAGATTCTATTACTGGGATATAGAGAGTGTGAGACACTAATATAAAGAGAGTGAGTGCGTGGGAGAGAATAAGGAAGCTATTCGCGGCGTGGTAGAAGGGAAATGAGAAAGACAAATAAAATGATGGAGAGAGACGTATTGAGAAAAAGAGTCTGTAAATATGTGAGGGTGGGATAGAGAGACTGAGCGAGTGATACAGGAAGAAATTGATAGAGAGTGTCTGAATGAAATAATGAGAGAGAATGAGAGAGTGTGAGTGTGTAAGAAGAGTAAGCGGGAGTGATAGAGAATGTAGATATAGATAGGAAGAGAGGGGTAAAGTGAAAGTGAGAGACAGTGAGTTTCAGAGTGAGGTAGAGGGGAAAAGAGAGTTATTTAGACTGTGATAGCGGGAGTGAGAGAATGGCTGACAGTAAAATAGTTAGAGAGAGAGAGAGAGAGAGAGAGCGTAAGGGTAGGATAGAGAGAGTGCAATAAGAATACAGAGGAAGAGTGATAGAGAATGTAAACTAAGGATAGAAAGATTGATACAGATAGTAAGAGAGGGGTAAAGTGAAAGTGAGAGAGAGTGAGTTTCAGAGTGAGGGAGAGGAGAACAGAACGTGATTTAGACAACGATTGCGGGAGTGAGAGAATGGCTGAGAGTAAAATAGTGGAAGAGGGAGAGAGAGCAAGAGAGTAGGATAGAGAGAGTGTAATAGGGATACAGAGGAAGTGTGTGAGAGGCAATGTAGGAGAAGTCGGGAAATGACAAAAAGCGAAGGAATGAGAAAGAGAGAGAGAGAGAGAGAGAGAGAGAGAGAGAGAGAGAAAGAGAGAGAGAGTCCGTGACAGAAAGTAAAGAGTGATAGAGAGATTGACAAAGAGAAAGAGAGAGAGGAGAGAGTTAGGTATACTGAGAAACGTTGTTTGAGAGAGAGTTATATAGTGGGAATGAGAGTGAGTGAATAGTTGAGAGAGGGAAAGAGTGCGGGAGGAATAGAAAGAGTTGAACTATGTTAGAGAGTGTAAGAGTGAGAATTATAAGAGAGTGAGGGAGGAGGAGGGACAAGTGAAAGGGTTCACTGCCCCAGTTTTTTAGTAAGTTGTGAGGAAGAGTATAAATTTGCAGCATGTGTGGTCCTTTGCTAACCAAAGGTTTTTTTTTTTTCAAAATCAGAGAAGGCGTTTGGTGCTTTAAAAAGTTGGAATTGATATAAAAAGCAAACAAAAATTCACAGAACAAGAAGAGCCTAACCCTACCCTAACCCTTTCCAACCCCACCCGACCCCGGCAAAAAGTAAGGTAATTCCGAAGTGAAATAACCAGATGACTGTTGGTAAACGTAGATGTTTATGTGCCGGTAACTGGGTTTATGTAAGTGTTTCTGTTTTACGTAGACATTGATAAATGATTGACAGGATTAGGTTCATGCCTGTGTGGGTGGCGATGTACAGGATGCGATGGATAAATTGTCGTCCAAGTGATGCCAAAATGAAAATAACACTGACATCTCATTTTAACAGGCATACATGGTGCGATGGATAAATTGTCGTCCA